TTGAATGATGTTTATACCATTGTTTGATGCAACTGCATGCCGTATTTTTATATGAAAATAAACAAGCTGAAAACACTAACTGAAAAACTTTTAGTGCTTTTCTACAGTATTAAGCCTCAAATGTCAAATATACATTGGATTGGTTTCTTCTTTAAATTATAAAAAAGTAAAAATATGAATTGTATTATAATGTTATACTAAAACTAAAATTAAAATAATGGGAAAAACCCTTAAGATAACATGTGGAAAGAAAAAAACGCATCTTAAGCACGCAGAATAACATAAGTGGACTTTGAACGATTAATTGCCGCTTTGAACGATTACGTAATTGTGGCATCCATAATTGTAATCGCGATTAGAAATTCGATTAATTGTGCAGCCCTATAAATAAGAAAAAAAACATTTAAATTGTAATAATATTTCACAATATTACCGTTTTTATTGTATTTTTGATCAAATAAATGAGGCCTTGATGAGCATAAGAGACTTGGGTGCTTTCATTTTATGGAAAAGAGCAACATCGACATTCTGCTGTGTTTTTTGTGTTTTACAAAAATAATAATAAAATCAAAAGCAAAATCGAAAGTTTGGAACAACATGATAGTGAGAAATTATAACAGAATTGTAAGGTGAACTATCAACTTTATTGTTACTCAAGTGTTGTTTTTTGCCCTTTTTGGCAGTGAGCAAACACAGTCACTTGAAGGACTTGATGCTGGTGGTGTCTATCGTGATCGGTGTGGGGGGCTGCTGGTTCGCCTACATGCAGAACCGGAATTCTAAGGACCATGTTAGCAAGATGATGAAGGACCTCGAAGGGCTTCAGAGAGCTGAGCAGAGCCTACTGGACCTGCAGCAGAAGTAAGCACTCAGTTTGTCCCTGATTGTATTATAAATGAACAGGAAACAGGCTTACAGTAAATAGCAGCTAACAGGCCGGAAAGGCTTTAAAGTGGAATCGTGAGGCTTATATTTCATGATGCACAGTTGAAAAAAATGTTTTCTAAATCTTATTGAGGCAGGACTACATTTCTAGATGAAGGAAGGTCTGTTTGTAAGTTAGCAACAAGTTCCTGTGGTTTGTGAAGTTTGAAGAACTCAGCTAGGTAAACAATCTTTCCCATCTCAAGCAAAAGAAAAAAAAACAAGATTTACTTTTTAGCTGGTCATGACATCGCAAGATTGCTAAGTGATTCTGTCAGGACTAGTCTCAGTATGTATGGAATGTGTAATGTTATTTCAAATAAATGCTCTTCAATAAAGTTTTTATTCATCAAAGAATCCTGAAAAAAAAAATTCATGTTTCCACAAAAATATTAAGCAGCACAACTGTGATAATAATAAGAAATGTTTCTTGAGCAGGCATGCAGCATATGAGAATGATTTCTGAAGGATCATGTGACACTGAAGACTGGCGTAATGATGCTGAAAATTCAGCTTTGCATCACAGAAATAAATTACATTTGAAAATATATTCAAATGTAAAAGTTATTTTAAATTGTAATAATATTTCACTGATGAAATATTCAATTCAATTCAGGTTTATTTGTATAGCGCTCTTCACGATACAAATCGTTGCAAAGCAACTTTACAGCAAATTAAGTTTCTACAATATTTAGTAGTCGCTTATCAGTGGTGACTGTCAGTTAATGTACAGTACATATGGCAGAAATGTATGGAAAAATCAAATAAAAGCAATCTTGGTGAGCAAGAGTATAGACTTCTTTCAAAAGCACCAAAAACGGTATATATTGGCCATTTTCCATGGCAACCATTCTTAATTAGATAAATAATTCTTGAAAAGTTCATGCTTTATTGAAACACTAATGTTAAGACAAACTACTACGAGTGCACGCTTTTTAGGTCTAAAGTGACTTGTAACAAATCCACGCTGTTTTATTTAAAGGGGTCATGAACTGCCTTTTTAAAATTATTTTGTACTGTTCTCTGAGGTCCACTTATAATGTTATCAAGATTTTTACATCAAAAAACATCATAATTTAGAAGTAATAGGCTATTTTCTGTTCTGTTTTGACCCCCCTCATCGGAACGCTCTGTTTGAATAGGTGTGGCAGATTGTAGACTCGGAAGTAAACACCCACTGCTATGATTGGCTAACAGTTGTGTATGTTTGACAGCCTACATTACCAGTGTAGTAGATAGCTGCTGTGATTTAGGTTAAAAACGCATGAATACTCAGTACATATCAAACGATCTGTAATAACAGACAAAGCAATAGTGACCACATAATAAAAACAGTTACTCACACTTGTGTGGTGCCACATTATACTGTCTGATCCAATATAGTCACCACAGCATCATCTTTTAGTTTTAATATTTCTGAAAATCCTGCGTTGAATTGTGCCTTGTTTGCAAACGAATCCACGATAAAATGAAGTGAACAAAGGACCGAGTTCTTACTGACGCGGTCTGGATCTTCATTAAAAATAAAGTTCATCCACTCTTTCCTAATGTTGAGATAAGAAGGATGACGATGCAAAGACTTTTCCACAACTTGGCACTGTACTGAGTCTTGTTATTTTCGGAGCATCTTTATTGTTTGATTTCTGTGTAGACCTGTGTTTGCCTCTCTCGTTATTTACACTACATGCGCAAATCGGTGGGTGGGGCTAAACAGGCAGTGATGTAGAAGCAGGCGTTGATCTTCTGTGGAGGCGGTGCTTAGCCACACCATTACATCATAAAGTGGCTCATTCCACAACCTGTCGTTTTGGCAGATTAACTTCAATATAAGCTGTTTTTAGACTAACGAGAAAGTTTTGAGTTCTGAAACTTACAGGATGTTTTTATACATTTTGACATTTTATATGTCAAAAGATCAAGGGAATTTTGATTTCTCAGTTCATGACCCCTTTAAAAACAAAAAGAGGAATTTGTCTATATGGTGGAAGTGTTTTCATTTCCTACTATCTTTGTCTGTTCAGGTCAAAAGACTCTTGCAGGGTGATGCAAGCATCCCTCAAAAGTCCTTAAATGGCAAAAGGATGGGCAGTGCTGTGCCGAATCCGGCTCGGAGTGTTTCAGACAATCGCACTCTCATGCTGCACTCTCAGTTCAGCTGGCGCCCACTGTGCTGAGGCAGAACAGAGAACGTGTCTCTGTCTTTTTTCAGAGGTCAGAGGTCTCAGAGAAACTCATGATTCAAACATCCTTTCTTTACGGTGCATTAATTTAAAGCAATGGCCTTATAAGGAGAAGGATGCGGTTTTGTGATCTGTATTAGTTTGTTGAAGGAAAAGCGGTTGCAGAGGAATGTTTGTTGAGTGTAATGTGATTAAGTCACAGTGTAAGTATGACTGGTGTTATAGAGCAGCACATGGATCTGAGTGCGTGGCATTTCTGTCATATCCTTCACACTAAATGCCATTTGGAACAGAGATCAGGACACCTTGTTTCCACTTTGATCGGCACCACGTCCGTCCTGTATGATGCAACTGGCATTTCTGTGGCAAAAGGCTTTCATATTTTACATACCATATTTCATATATCTGTCTGTGTGTGTGTGTGTGTGTGTGTGTATATATATATATATATATATATATATATATATATATTTGACTGTCTGTCTGTCTGTCTATCATCTGTCTGTCTGTGTCTATCTGTCTGTCTGCATATACACCTATCTATCTATCTATCTATCTATCTATCGAGAACTGCGTGAGGGAACTGAGAACGAGTTGAGCAGACAGAAATATGCAGAGCAGGAGCTGGAACAGGTATCACAAGGCCTTATTAACAGGAGGTTATACATCTATCTATCTATCTATCTATCTATCTCTATCTATCTATATCTGTCTGTCTGTCTGCATATACATCTATCTATCTATCTATCTGTCTGTCTGTCTGTCTGTCTCTATCTGTCTGTCTATCTATCTATTTATCTGTCTGTATGTGTCTATCTGTCTGTCTCTATCTGTCTGTCTATCTATTTATCTGTCTGTATGTGTATATCTGTCTGTATGCATATACACATATCTATTAGGGCTGCACGATAAATCGCATGCGATATTTAACGCGCATCTTATCAGTAAAGCCGGTTCTGTAATCAGCGGTAAATCTCCATCACGTGCATTGAGCAGCATTAACTACACAGAGCCGTTGTTTACTGACGAGCTGCGCAAAACCACGTTCATATTCGCGCGATTTTTTGCGCACCTCCTATCTATCTATCATCTGTCTGTCTGTTTGCATATGCACCTATCTATCTATCCATCTGTCTGTCTGTCTGTCTGTCTATATCTATCTATCTATCATCTGTCTGTCTGTCTGTCTGTCTATCTATCTATCTATTGT